GTTCTGGTTCTCGGTTTCAGTTCCAGTTCTCAGTTTCGTTCCCGGTTCCGGTTCCTAAAAAAATGGAACCAGGAACCGGAACCTCCCTTAGTCCGGTTCTCCGTTTCACGGTTCTATCTTGGACCTGTGCTCACCTCTACTAACTTGTCATCAAGCACTTCGTGCATTCTTGGATTATATATGAGCTGGCGTACGGTTTTGTTCTTATCTGTAAATTTTCATGAACTAGACATAATAAACAAGTTGGCTCATTAACTCCTATATAAGTTGATTTGAGGTGCTAATGCTCACCATCACCAAGACATTAAGCAAAAGCAATATGAGGATGTCCGTAGTGAAATACTCCATCTTCCTTTTCCTAGTTACAATTTCACCTGTTTTTGCTACAAGAACGTTCAAAAAGAGAGAACCTGCAAGAGACCTGTTCTCTACTAACATGACATCCTCTTTGGAGGCAACGATGTGGCCAACGCGACATCCGCGCGGGCGGCCAACGGGACCAGGCTAGGCAAATTCGTGCTAGGCATGTTGGTCGTGTTTGACGACCCGACCACGAAAGACTAGCACCTACTCTCGACCCCGGTGGCGCGGGCCCAGGGCTTCTATTTTTACGACATGAAGACTGATTACAATGCCTGGTTCGCGTACACGTTGGTGTTCAATTCGACCGAGTACAAGGGCACGATAAACATTATGGGGGCAGACATGATGATGGAGAAGACTAGGGATCTCTCCATCGTTGGAGGGACGGGCGATTTTTTCATGGCAAGAGGAATCGTGACATTTCAGACTGATGCGGTCGAAGGGTTCAAATACTTTCGCTTAAAGATGGATATCAAGTTACATGAATGTTACTAGAAGCTAAAATGGTCAGTCCCTTATGCGTCTAGTTGTGGGAAACTTATTTCTACTTAGTACTTGCTTTTCTTGTCCCTTAGGCGTCATTATGGGGGACACCGAAACTTTTGCCTTGTGTTAAGATCGTCAGAGCATCTGAAGTAGCACTTCTATGATACTCGAATCCCCCTCTTTTATCACAACATCCCCCTCTTTTATGACTAAATGGACCTTCTATGTCTTCTGAAGTAGGCAATTTGACATAGGTACCAAAATTCTCTAACTCGGATCAATTATCGCGGATGTACACAAGCTGTGCAATCCACGCGTGTTGACATTGCTTGGATTCTTTCTCCCATTACTTGTGTATAATTGGCTTGGCAAATGCTTCATCAACGATATTCGTTGACAGGATACTTCTATGGTACATCTGATGTGTATCGGAAAATTTTAGAACGGGTCGACGGGTCGTTGTAATTGATTATTAAAATGTCGTAACCTGTCAAAAATTATTTTACATCGTTAAAGCGTGTTAACATAATCGAAGGGCAAAAGGGTCCTTAAAAACAATTTATATGACATCGGTTTCACCTTGAGTTAATGTAATGTATTACCTAAAGCTACTTGCGCTGCAAAATTTGCTATCTCGTGAGTGAATGTCAGATGTGTCATCAGAAAAAAAGACATAGCCAATGACTCTTAACATGCCTTATTTTACATTTGTTTTTTTGCCCTTCACATAGTCAGAATGCCGGTTTGAATTTGGCAGGGAAAAGTACAAAAAAAGTTCTAAACCTATTACATTGGTACCAATTTAGTCATAAACCTTTTAATTAGATCAATTTAATCCTAAACCTTTTCATATTGGTACCAATTCAGTCCATCCGGCCAATTTAGGTCGGAAATCGCTGATGTGGACGCCGGCGGTGTCACGTGAATTGGTACTAATGCAATAGATTTAGGACTTTTTTGGTACTTTTCCCGAATTTGGCATCTTACTGCATTTTGGACCATGCACTAACTCATTTGATTAATCACTGCATTAACATATGTTTGTGCATATGCTTCGATCTATTCCAAGCTAGAGTGACAGCTATTTGCATAAAGTCGAAGTTATTTTATTCCGTGGCTTACTCCAAGCTTTCTATTTGGTTGTGGACATGCCAACTCCATAGCGGAAAATATAAGATTACTCTCGAAATTTAGGAACCAAATAAACGGGGATAAGGTCATTTGGACTCCATGTGGAGCCAATCGAATTTATTGGCTCATGTATATTGAGTTCGCACGGGTCGTAAGCATGTAATGTTTTACTAACTTTTAAAATATTCTTGCCCTTATTAAATTAGTAATAGTCTACTAAAAATTGACGTACTTTGTCACACTGCATATGGATCAATTTGATCCATTTCACTAGCCGATTGTTGCGATTACCTTTATTACTTTTTTCATATGCTGGACGGTAAAAGTGATGAAAAATGCTAGATACCGTCCTTACTTTTGGCCTCAAAGCCACTAATTATTCTCTATTTTTCAGAATAGCACTTAGGATCCCCCCAGAAAACTCCACAAGCGGAAAAAACCAAATTGCCTTTCCCTCGATCAACACAAACCTTTCTTCCTCCTAATGTCCCTTACTATTCCAAGCACCCACATGACTTGGTTTCTTCCACCCACCGCCACCCCTGCCTTTCAACGCTGCCGCACCACCTCCGACCGCCATCTTCTATCATCGAGTCCCCGGGATTACCTTTGCTGTTGCCCCAACGACAGAGCCCCATCTTCTCTATCGCCCGAATTAAATGTAATGTCTCATATGAATTGAGTTCGCATACATCGGATGTATTTAAGAATTTTACTAACTTTAGCAAATTTCCATCCTCGTTAAAATTAGGAATAATCCGCTCGAATTCGATACATAATCACACTGCATATGCCTTTATTTGATGATCCTCGTGGGCTGATAACTGAGATTAATTTGATCCGTTTCTTGCATATTAGATGACAAAAGTTAGGATAAACTACGTGCCCTTCTCACTTTTGGCCTCTATACCACTTTGCATCTTCTATTCTTCAAAATACCACTTCGATCATCTTGCAAAAGTTTCACAGCGAAAAAGACCAAACTGCCCTTCCCTCAATTTTGACAAACCTTTCATCTTCCTAATTTTGTTACTTTTCCAAATCCCACTAAGCTCAGTTTCTACTACCCACCACTACTCCTGCCTTCGGATGCTGCTCCACTACCTCCGATCACCATCTCCCGTCATCAAGTCCCCGAACATCACCTTCGTTGCTGGCCCAACGATGTAACTCTCTCTCTCTCTCTCTCTCTCTGCGATGCATGTGTCAAGCTTATCGCAGATGGCGGAGGCATTGCCCTCTAGATTTGGAAGGTAGACCCCCCATGGCCGTGGAGGTCAACTTGTAGCGACAGAATCGATGTGAACAGAGATAGAGATGGAGAGAGGCAGACGAAGGGGCCTCGGGGTCTCGCCGGCAAATACGAGCTGCAACGTGTAGCGCGATGGCCGGGATATGGCGGCTGCCAGGGTGGCGAGAAGTGGAAGCTGAAGCTAGGTTGGCCTGTTGGGATTAGGATTTTCTAAAAGGGAGGATATTTTAGAGTATGAAGAAATTTAGAACCGGTAATTTAGGAAGAAGAAAAGGCGATTGATGAATAAATATAAGATGTCAACTAATGGAAGGTGCAATTTGTTGTCCAACACGAAAACTTGGGATGAAGAGTATAATTTTGTAAAATGATTATTGTCAGGTGCACCATCAGTGTAAGAAATTACTTTGACATTCATAGTTGGATGAATGACATGCGTGCTTAGTGTTAGTTTTGTACTCGAATTCTTTTTACATGCGAATAATTTAATGTCGAGTATCTTAATTCTTTTTTGTATCGGCGGTAGATCTAATAAAAATTCTTTGTAAAAGAGAGGATGCGAAATGATATGAGCTTGAAAAGTGACACGGTTTCTAGCATACTTTCCTGGAAAGCTATAATATAGTTCAGAATATATACTAGTGTCTTCTAAAAAATCTGAAACAGGTCACGAGGATGGGTTGTTAGGGACATTTAAGATTGTTGCTTAACCTTATAATGGTGCTAAATGCAAGTAGGATTTAATTCATAATGGGGGAGGGGAAATTGTCCAAAAAGTCCTAAATCTATTGCACTTTTGCCAATTCAGTCCTAAACCTTTCAAGTTTGCCAATTAAGTTCTAAACCTTTACAATTCTTGCCAATTGAGTCCATCCGGTCAATTTTGTCCTGAAATTGTTGACGTGGACGCCGACTGATCACGTGGCGCTGATGTGGACATTTTTAAACAATATTTTAATAATTTTATGAAATTTTTATGGTTTTTTTTTTTCCTTTTCTCTATTTTTTTTGGGGTTTGGAGTTGGCCGGTGAGGGTGGCCGGCCGACCCTCGCCGACCACAAGCAAGGGCCGGCCGACCCTCGCCGGCCAACTCCAAACCCCAAAAAAAACAAAGAAAAGGAAAAAAAACCATAAAAAATTCAGAAAAATTATTAAAATATTATTTAAAAATGTCCACGTCAGCGCCACGTGGCCGGTCGGCATCCACGTCAGCAATTTCTGACCAAAATTGGCTGGATGTATTCAATTGGCAAGAAGTGTAAAGGTTTAGGACTCAATTGGCAAACTTAAAATTAAGGTTTATGACTAAATTGGCAAAAGTGCAATATGTTTAGGACTTTTTGGACAATTTTCCTGAGGGGGGCATCACGAGTATGTGTTATAGAAAAGAAATGTAAATTAAACTAGTGGTGTCAGGCGTTATATATCGATGTATTGTAAGCTCTATATAAATTAATCACTAATCAAAGTAAATTTTTATCGTAACAATCACCGTTACCTTACTCACAAAATTACCTTTCTGATTAAAAGAAAAAAAAATGACAGCGTCTAATAAAGCCAGGAGGGAAACAAGCCACAAGAGGGGTGGTTGGGGAAATTAATCCCTAAAGAGGTGTGATTTCATTCGTAGAGGATATATTGTAGCAAAGAAATATGCAACTTGCCATGACTCACATGATCTATATGTGCACGGTAAGTTCTATATAAGCTGATCACCGAGCAATTGTATTCACCACAATCCTCACTACCTTGTAAAAGAAACACAAAATGGTAGAGCTTTCAAAAAACTATGGTGTCTTCTCCTTCCTCATCTTTCTCTTGCTCTCACTTGCCTCACAACTTTCCTTAGCTAGGCCTTCCAAAGAACTCAAACCATGCAAGCACATCGTGCTCCACATGCACGACGTAATCTTCAATGGCAATAACTCGGTCAACGCGACCGGGGAGGCTGTCACGAGTCTGGTTGGACTTGGGCATTTTTTCTTTGGCCAGGTATTCATCCTCGACAATCCGATGACGAAGGACCAGAACCTGCTAACCCCTCCAGCGGTACGGGCTCAGGGTTTCTATTTTCACTATATGAAAACTGGTCCGTGCGCCGGGATGGCTTTTACCTTGGTTTTCAACTCGACTGAGTCTAAGGGCACCATAGACGTCATGGGGTCCAATTATTTCCCGGCAAAGACTAGGTATCTCTCGGGCGTCGGTGGAACCGGGGATTTCTTCATGGCGAGAGGGATTCTCGAGATCGAGACAGATGGTATTGTTCCATTTGAGTAGTTTCGATTGAAGATGGATGTTAAGTTGTACGAGTGCTATTAGGAACTAAAAAAGTCACTAGTCCCATATGCTTTTGTAATGTTCGGATTTGGAAGGAAGTGCGCGACTAGGGTTTCGGAATAGCAGGGGATGTCTCTTCAAGTCGCAATGCTGGTCAATACCTTTCCAAATAATGCTTGTCAAATTGTGTATCTTCAGATATATGATGAGATCAAGATGCTTCAAATGGTCGGGCCTTTGAGTCGGTGTCATTGTTTCATCACCGTTCTTTTTGGTTCAAAATGCCCCCTCAATGAACTGTTTGAGTTAGTCTGACCCTAAATCGATTAGAATGATTACAATAATCCATATATTTTATACCTTTTGAGACAATCATATCATAAATCCTAAAACTTGTCATGATAATGCACTTAAGTCCTAAAAATTTCATTTCTTCCATTTAACTCCCTAAACTCATAATTTCGATGTACTTGAATCCTTCCATTAACTTAGTAAGTTTTAAGTAGATGCAAAGTGCCATGTGGCTTTTTCTATTGTTCTTAATTTTCAATCTTACATGGCCATTCATAAAAAAAAATGACATGTAGATGTGCCGTTTATTAAAACCTAACGAAGCTAACGAAAGGATTAAAGTGGAGATCATGACAAGTTTCAAATTTAAATGCACGTAATAAAAAGTGGTCGGATTGACATGCATCATCAAGACAAGTTTAAGACCAAAATGCATCAATCAAGTCTGAAACATTCTTAATCATCAATTCCTTCAAATCCTCAAATATCAGAAACGAAAGAGTTTCATTTCAGTCCTAGATTGAGTCCACCTGACCAACATCTTCTTTCCCTGATAGGGGCCAGTGGAGGAGGCAGTGGTGCTGCATACTACCATGAGCGGGGCCTAATTAAAAAAAAAAAACACCAACTTTACATTGAGCGATAACTCTGGCACTAACATTTTTTTATCTCAATAAAAAAGCACCAAATTTTACATGAGTCCCAAATCTAACCCCCATAATGTAAAATTTTCAAATTGTTCGGGTCAGGTTTGAAATTTAAGCGAAAGTTGATAATTTTTTTATGAGACAAAAAAAAGTTCGGATCATAATCGTCATTCAAGGTAAAGTTGGTGCTTTTTCTTGGAATTAGGCCATTGGGGGGGGGGGGAGGAGGAGAAAGAGAGAGAGTGGGTCATATTTTATGAGGCGTTATTTGATGCCAGTGGCTTAATCGGAGCTTTCTATTTGGTTGTTAACATGCCAATTTCATCGGGGTAAATTTATGATATGAAAGTTTACTCCCTAAACGCAAGAATCATATATTTTTGCATATGCACTTAGTCCATTAAGCCAAATAAATGTGAGAGATAAGATTATGTGGACTGCACGTGAAGCGAATCAAATTTAATGGGCCGGCAGCCCCACTGGCACAATGAAGAAGAAACAAAAAAAGAAAATAAAATAAAAAATAAAATCAATAAAAAATAATAAAATATTCGGAATTTTTTTTAAAAAATTATAAAATTATCCACGTTAGTGCCGGCCGTATCATGTATGACTTCGACGCTAACTAGACTGTCACATCATTGATTTCCGACCAAAATTAGCTGAAAGGACTTCATTGGCAATTTGTTAAAGGTTTAGATCTAAATTGGTAAAATCCCCAAAGGTTTAGACTAAATTGACATAATTGAAAGTTTTAGGATTGAATTGACAAATTATCAAAATGGTTAATACTCAATTGGCACAATTTTCGATAAAAAAAGGCCAATGTATAATAAATTTAATACTTTTTGGACAATTTTCCTCACAAAAATATATCAGATGTGACACCATGAGTTTGATTTGTGTAATCCTACATACTCATGATGCCTCCTCTGAATGAAATCCCACACGTATTTAGCACCATTATAAGGTTAAGCAACAATTTTAAATATTTTTTTCACGTTTTACCAATTGAGTCCATCCGATCAATTTTGACCACAAATCACTAATATGGACACTCGCCATCCTACGTAACTTGGCTAGCACCGACGGGGACAATTTTTAGTATTTTTTTTTATTTTAATAATAATAATAATAATAATAATAATAATAATAACAATAATTTTATTTTCCTTCTTTTTCTTTCTCCTTCTTTACTTTTTATTTTTTATATTTTTATTGTTAAGATCGACAGTGGGCCGTTGGCCACCGGTTGAGGCCCAACGATCCCTGCCGGCCACTAGGCAAGGGCTTGCAGCCCTCGCTCAGAGTTGGGTGATGGCTCTCGGCCCTCGCCAGCCGCTGCAAGGCCCTCACCCACTCGTGGGGCCTCACCTAACTGTTGGCGAGGGCTTCATGGCCCTCACCCACGATTGGTAAGGGCTCACAGGCCCTTGCTTAGTGGCCAATGGGGGTTGTTGGGCCTCAATTGGCCCCCACCGGCCTTAACAATAAAAAAAGAAAAAAAGTAAAGAAGGAGGACGAAAAAGAATGAAAAGAAAAGAATATATATAAAAAAATTAATGAAAAAATATTAAAATAATATAAAAATTGTCCACGTTAGCGTCAGTTGTGCCACATAAGATAGGTGGTGTCTGCGTCAGCTATTTTGGCCAAAATTGGCCAGATAGACTCAATTAGCAAAACGTGAAAAGGTTTAGGATTCAATTTGCACAATTAAAATGTTTAAAACTGAATTGATAAGTTTAAGACTTTTTGGACAATTTTCCCATAGTCGATAGAAGGTAATGATTGACTCACAATTTTGAGATCGATCGTAACAACTTGAGAGACTAGGTTCTGTTTGTTTCGCAGAAAATATTTACTAGGAAAACATTTTCCTCATTTTTTAACGTTGTTCGCTTAGGGAAATGAGTCAACGAAAAATGTTTTCCTCGTCAACGGAAAACATATGCCTAAATTTAGGAAAATAATTTCCTTTTTAAAAAATCGAAAATCATTTTTCAAAATATGACTAGGTATTAACACTTGGACTTGTATTTTCCGCTTAGGCACAAAAACCACAACGTTGATTTTCGGTCCCCGGCGTCTAGGACCAGGTATCCTGTGCCCGGGCCCGGGTTCATCGAGATTGGGCCCGTGACCCCGGTGCCCTTGCTCGGGTCCATCAGGCAATGCCCGGGACCCCGGCGCCCACACTCGAGTCCATTAAGGCCGAGTCCAAAGTCCTAGTGCTTGTGCTCAATGCCTTGGTACTTGGATTTGGGTCCACAAAGGCTGAGCATAAGATCTCGGTACCTGAGCTCGGATCCCCAACACCCGGGCTGGAGTCCACAAATGTCATGCCCGGATCCATTGAGGTCGGGCCCAGGACCAAAGGTGCCCTTGCTCGGGTCCATCGAGGCTAGGCCCAATACCCAGTGCCCGGGACCCAATCCTTGACGCTCGAATCGAGGTCCATTGCGGCCAGACCCTGGACCCTAGTACGCATATATGATTCCCTAGCTGCTCATGCACAAGTGATCAACGCTCGAATAATGTATGTTTATTTAGGAAAATCAAATCAGATATTCCATACAAAACAACAAAATATATTTTCAGGATTATTTTCAGGTTTCAACCAAATACCGAAAAATATTATTATTTCCTGAAAAATGATTTCCTGAATAACATTTTCCGGAAATAACATTTTTCATGAAATAAACATAACCTAAAATTAGTGTAGAAATTAGCCGAAATGTGGACTAACGGCTAGTCATTAAGGTCATTAGATACACTTTTAACACATCTACGGCGAAAAATGGGCAAAAACTGTTTTCGCGAGAGATTTGAATCTTCAAAATGTCTCCTAATATTCAGCTCTTTTGCTTCCGAAATTGGCACGAAAGAATCTTCAGGGGCCATCTTGAACTAGAGCCCAAAATATGAGGCTCACATTGTAATTTTCTTAAAAATAAAAAAAACCAGACAGTTGAAACTTGAAGCAGATAAAGGCAGAGCACGCATTGGCGCTACAGTCAGATAACTTATCGCCTTCCTTAACTTCATCAACTAACTTCCTTCTCTCAGACCACAGAGACCAGACGTGCAACAACGAGCGAGAGGATGCGAAGCATCACGCTCTCCTCCGAGAGCGTCCTCAAGTCACACTCACTGCCTCCATCTCCCAACCCTCCGAACCTCGCGACCTGTTACCTCTTCTCCCTCCGTTCTCGCTTCAAGAATCAAGCTTTCAGTCGCCCTTCTCGCGACCCAGTGCCCATTTTCTGCAGGTAACCTGGGAAACATGTGTTTTTGTTTGCTTTATGAATGCCTCTCTTCAGAATTGTGCTTCATGGGCGTGGGATGGCATCTTGGAAATTTGTGCCAAGTGATTGTGATCCTTCTGCTTCAGTGAGGTCCTAGGAATAATGAATATGCTTCTTTTTTGTATCTTCAGAGTGACAGAGCGAAATCAATTCAATATGATAGTTGACTATGCTAAGTTGTAAGGGGTTTTGAGATATTTGATTTTTTTTTCGTAATTGTCGAGATGGGGTTTGATTTTTGTACTGGCACTCCAATTTAATGAAGGAAATGCAAAGCTGGGAAGAAATGTGGAAAGCTTTTGAAATGGACTGATGGGCATGCCTTTTGTAGGTACAGGAGAGGGTGGACCGTGAAAAATTGCAAAGATCGGTCTGGTCACTTTCGGCTTAGCACTTCTGAGAACTGTGATGACTTTGTAAGAATCTTCAGGACCTGAACTGCATGAACATATGTTTTTTCTTCGCCGCATTTGATTGGATCAGTTATGCAGAAAATCATGCTAGCAAGTTCTCCCTTGCTCACTCATCTTTTGTCTCATTTCTCTGCATTGGAACGATGCGTTTTGTGCTTGTGGCATAATTGTTTACTTTGGAGTTGGATTTCAGCTGATTTTTCTCAGTGGACATGCTTAACAGATAAAAGTGTGTTTTCTTGTCTGTCTTACTTTGTTTTTAATCCAAAATGTTCTTGTCAATACAGACCACAGGGTACATCAGTGTTGAGAATAACAATGCATCAGAAGAGTCATTGCCAGTGGACAATTCTTGTGTTTTGCCTATATATTCAGCAATGAGTAACTCGAACAGACAAGATCTTACAGCTAGAGAGATTCTGTTGAGTAGTGCATCATTTGGTAATTTGGGAAAGTTTATGTTCATCTTCGGATGGCTCACGCTTCAAGGCTCTCAACCAGCTATTGCCGGAGACATTGCCAGTGGTTTGCAGTCACTCCCTTACTTTCAGGACCTTGGTGATATTAGCACAGGTTTTGCCTCAGTTAGGGAAATCTCCCTTTAACTTTTCAATTTCAATATTGAAAGGCTCTATCTTTTTGCATAGTTATGAATAAGGAGATGCTTTGGTGGCTCCAATGGGTTTAGAAAATAAATTGTATCACAGGATTCCTAAGCATACAAACTGATTCAGAGCCTTACAAATTTCAGATCAGTTATATGAGTGATATCACAACTGCTGCAACAAGAATGACTGTCACTTCCCAGGATTTGTTCCTATTTGACAATTTTGTTCGACATTGAACAATTAACAAAAACAATATCTAGTAATTGTTCCCTTTAGACATGCATAGATTTCCATTTTAATTCAGTGATCTGATTGGTCATTGGATCAATCGTCGCAACCTACCATCCAATAAGCTCCTATTTGGCATTACCCACTATGTTTCAGTAGAGTTAATTCTTTGGATAAAACTACGTCATCTACATTAATGGAGAGCTCTTACACATTTTCTCTTCATGCAGGCATTCTTGCTCATCTTTTTCTCAGAGCTGGGAGATAAAACCTTCTTTATTGCGGTGAGACCAAAGATCTTATCTCTTGACTGGCTGGGTTGAACTTACGAATGGTACTAAGGTTGTCATAGTTTAATGCCAAATCCTATCCTCAGAAAAGCACTTCTTTTCTTAGAATTTAGGAAGAGAGGGGACCTGATTAGGGCGCTTGTTAAATAAGCCAATGAAAACATCTTCCATGTCCAGCACTGTGGGAATTCCCGCAGGGCATTCTCAAGTGTCTTTCTTCAGCTGTGAACCTGACAAAGAGGTTTGTCTGAAACAAACCAGATTTCAAGGTTTCCTTGTTAGGCCTGTTTAGGCCTAAAATATTTTTCTTGGATTAGAAATCAATTAAGTACAGCTTTGTTAGGATGTACATTTCAGCTGAAATGAATATTTTTCCCAGACATGTGATACCTTTTCAATATAGGAATCTGGACTAAGCTTGAAAGTAATATGGTAAACAAATTAGTCATGGGATAACTAATTCTCCCTCTGAGTGGCATGAACCTGTCTTAAGAACAAAACGGATTGATATATTCCAGAACTGATAAATTCTGTCAATTTCAGGTACTGTCTAGGTTAGCTTCTCTCTCTCTCTCTCTCTCTCTCACACACACACACACACACACACCCATTCACATGCATGCATGCATGCACATGCACATGCATGCCGAACATCTCTCCCATCTCACTTTCGGTTCATAATCTGTTCCTTTTCCACTCATCTCTTTGTAAGTGTTTAGTCCTGTGTAGCTTTGGTGAAGTGCGATGACTCAAAAATGTCTTCTGGCTTTTTGCAGGCTCTTTTAGCAGCTAGGAACTCTGCAGGCGTCGTCTTCACTGGGACATTCGGTGCACTTGCGTATGTTACTCTGCTTCTGCATGGTGATTTAGATGTCTTCTGCATTTTCTTTTGCTCTTTGTAATTCTTGTTTGAGTTATAAAGAGTAAACTCGATAAAACAGCAAGTGAGAAAAGCAACCACCTCTAACTAAATAGTTATTCTCTCATCTGCACCAGACCTAAATCAGCCAGCCTCTATCCAAAGCATGTGGAGTTGGTGTTATCCTCATTTTCCATCTCTTATTTGTCTTATCGGTGTAGCACTCGTAGAAACTTACTTAGCTTGTTCATGCCCTTAGTAACATTGGCAAAGCAGAAGTGTCTGTTGATCCATGCTACTAATTTGCAGTAAATAAATTATGTATCTTGAGATAAATAGCCATTAATTACACTAGAAGCTGACAGCTACATCTTATTTATCTAAAGCAGTTGATTGCCATCACTACCGGAGTCCATGTCAATTGTACTTTATGTCAAAGAGACCATAGAAATTCTCTGTTTTTGGGATTAAAAGAAGTGCTTATTCTTCTGGACAGGATAATGACTATTATATCTGTTGTTCTTGGAAGAACCTTTCACTATGTTGATGAAATCCTTCCATTCAGGTACTATTGTTTCTGCTTCTCAATGCATTTCCACTTCACATGATCACTCATCTCTTTTCCATTCAGCTATTGTGTGAAGTTGATTATGTTGCTGGAGAAGTATAATCATGTACTAACGGCATCACAGGTTTGGGGAGAATGATTTACCTGTTGATGACATTGCTGCAGTTTGTCTCTTTGTAAGTTTTGGATTGCTGCTGATATCATGAAATATATACAATGTCCTTGCTAGTTTGAATGTCTCCTGTCGATAACAAGGAACTGTTTTTGTTGAGAAATGAGCAGCATCTTTGCCCTAATTTCTGCACATCAGGTCTATTTTGGCGTTTCCACACTTATGGATGCCTCCTCTGGTGAAGGTCTTAAGGCAGACGATGAGCAGAAAGAGGTGAATTGAATGATCGTTTCCCAGTTTGTCGAGCCTTTTTCTAATGTTGCACCTATAAATATGCTCTTTTTTCTGGGTGTGACGTTCTCTAAAGGTGATATCACTTTGTTCTTTTGAACCAGGCTGAATTAGCAGTTTCGAAATTTTCAGGAAATGGCGCTGGGATAATAGCAGCTGCTAGTACTGTTGTTAGTACTTTTGTTTTAGTTTTTGTTGCTGAATGGGGCGACAAGTCGTTTTTCTCCACAATAGGTGAGTGCAAAGTTTGAACTGCACATCAGTTTGACCGGTCATCAATCCAACATATGTATGCATGCTTCAAGGCTTTTAGCTCCCAATGAATAACGTAGATTAGGCCAGTCCAGTTCATCTTTTTCTTGTCTCTCTTACTATTCATTTGTAGCTTCCCATGATCTGCTACTTCCATAACATTTGGGACATCAGCTGCACGCAACCTCTGGCCTTTCCAACTCATTCTAATGTCTAATTCTCAAAATCGTTTTTTGCTGCATTCAAAGTTTAGAAGCTTGACTTTCTCTTTAATAACTGCACATTTCTCTTGCAATATAGCCCTTGCTGCAGCATCTTCGCCTCTTGGAGTCGTCGGGGGAGCTTTGGCTGGACATGGTGTGGCAACTTTGGTAATTTGTTTCCTGATGGAAATTATTTCTTCTACTTACTAGCTTCAGGGTCGACATGATTTCATATCTGTTTAAGAAATGGTAAGAAATACCCTTCTAAAACGTGACTATAAAGAAATTTAAACAGTGAATATTCTAGTAGTTCACTGATAACAAGTTGGCGAGACTTGTCGACGATTTGTTCAAATTGATAAATCTAAATACAATTCTCGCAAATCGTAAGTGCGATGCATGTTTGTGGTCAAATGTAACTCTGAAGCATGTTTATGTGAACCTATGGAGACAATTTTTTTTTGGTAAGGACCTATGGAGACAATTTTGATTCTTGTATGTTTGCGAAATTTCTTCAACTGTGTGCAAGATTATCGTGAATCTAAGGATGTGGATCGGTGAATTGTTACTCGGAACTTTGTGCAGATCGCTGTACTCGGAGGTTCGTTGCTGGGAACATTCTTGTCTGAGAAGGTATGATGATCAAAATGACTTCTCACTCTATTTACTTAATCTCGCTTGCTGCTAAAGCAATATTTTCTTGAGGGTATTCATCGAGCATGCATTCTTTTACTTGATTCGCTGTCCTCTCTTCACTGTACAGGCCATCGCCTACATCGGAGGTAGTCTTTTCCTGGTCTTCGCCGCCGTGACATTGTTCGAGATCGTGAATTAGAGATTCCCCGCACGTTCCACACGAGCAAAATCAGCGAACGGTCATCGGTTCAAGGAAGCCATCGGGAAACATCCTCGCATGGCAATCGGTAGGGCAAATTGCTCAGTGAAAGAATCAACTACCATTTCTTTGTTGGACATCACTTTCTGTTGGGACAAGGATTTTCATCATTCTTTTGTTAGTATAGTTTCAACATGATAGAGTGGTCTTTCAGGATTGGTCGTTGTGGCGCAATATTCACGTCGAAATTCAAGTACTTGTCTTTGCTGCGACTAATGACACCTTCAACCATTCTAATAAATCGGGCGGAAAAGGGAAAAAGAAACACAGCTCAAATAGACATATGGTAGAAGGAAAAGTTTTGAATTTCAGTGTCTTCACTTCTTAGCGCGCACAATCCATGTTTATCTGCGCTCATAGAGAGGAATATTACCAAAAAGGTATAAACTTATTGCAATTGTGCCAATTTAGTCCTAAACGTTTTCGTTTTTAGTGTCAATTGAGGTCTAAATCTTTTGCATTTGTGTCAATTCAGTCCACCCGGTCAATTTTGGCCAGTCGACACTGACGTGGCACGATCGGCGTTGACATGGCACGGCCGACGCTAACGCGGACAATTTTAATATTTTTCGAATTTTAATATTTTTTTCTTTTTCCTTTTTTTCTTTTCTTTCTCTTATTTTTTTTTCCTTTCTTCTTCCTCTGCCCGGTCGCCTCGGTCCGAGGACCAGTCAGAGGCGAGGGCCGGCTAGGTTGACCTTGCCGTTGCTGGGCGAGCTCACCCAGCCACTAGCGAGACGAGCCAGATCTGGATCTTCACTTCTTAGCATGCACGATCCATGTTCATTTGTGCTCATGGAGACCTATTCAGTCTAAGTGTCGATTGAGTTGCTTGACTGGCCTTGGGCGACTCAATCCCATCCTTCCTAGGTCGCCAGAGGTCGCCCAAGTGTCGATCCAAGAAAGTGCACGAAACATTCGCATCACAAACCCAATAGGGCCATGGCGACCTCTGGCGAGGCCCGAGCTCACCCAAGGCCAGTCGGGCGACTCAATCCCATCCTCCCTAGGTCGCCAGAGGTCGCCCAAGTGTCGATCCAAGAAAGTGCATGAAACATTCGCATCACAAACCCAATAGGGCCATTACCATCTTTCCTAGTAAGGAATGGAAATCAAAGAAGAATAATCCAAAGATGCAGAACAAAACATTGGAAGGTTGGCAAAGATCGAATGGACGTGGCGCAGCTCCCCACCATCCATCCACGACGTTTGTTTTTTTTTTTGGGCATGTTGGAAGGAATAACGAAGATTGGTCTCGATTAGAAAGAGGAATTCGAAGGGGAATAATTCGAGATCAGGAATTTTTGGACCGCCTCACGTTATTATTCTCCCCTTTCGTCTTTGGGTCTTCTTCTTCCCACCGCCATCCAATTTGGGTCCGTACATTCCTCAATCGGCCCCCCGTCCTAGAAAAGCAAGAAGAAAATGCTCCATTTTAGTTCTCTTTCCTCTTTCTCTCTCTCCTTTGCTCCAATCATACCACAAATTGCATAAGTCGATTGACTCCTCTCTTCGATCACCTCAAAGATATGATCGAACCCAAAATCAGTTATAACTTAGCAAATCGAAAGAATTGCCATCGAATTTATGTCGTTTCGGGTAGCATCTGGTGTGTTGAATCTTGCGAGGAGAGAAAATTGTCCGAAAAATCCTAAAGCTTTTGTACCTTTGCCAATTCAATCTTAAATCTTTCAATTTTGTCAATTGAGTTCTAAACATTTTCATGATTTGTCAATTAAGTCAATCCGGCCAATTTTAGTAGGAAATCGTTGACGTGAACACCGACCGTTCTACATGAAGCATCCAACATTGAATTGGACAATTTTCAATGATATTTTAATATTTTTTTCAATTTTGTCTTTACTATTTCCTTTTTTTCTTTCTCTTTTTTTTTTCTTTACTTCTTCCTCCTCTAGCTGGTCGTCGAGGCCCGGCGACTAGCTAGAGCCGACAGCTAGCGAGGTCACCGGTCTCTGGCGAAGCTCGCCAAGCCTGGCGAGGCGTGACCTCACTAGATCTGGCAAGGTTGGCGAGGTCAACCTCGATAGCCCTCGCATCTGGTCGGTCATCGGCCATCTCCAACGCCTGGTGACTGGCTAGAGGAGGAAGAAGGAAAGAAAAAAAAAAGAAAGAAAAGAAAAAGAAAACATTAAAAATATTATTATTAAAATATCTATGCTAGCGTCAACCATCTTACGTGGCATGTCCGATGTCCACGTCATTGATTTCTAGCTAAAATTGGCCGATAAGACTTAACTGGCAAAATGTAAAAATGTTTATGACTCAATTGGCAAAACTAAAAGGTTTATAATTAAATTGGAAAAAATGCAATAGGTTTAAAACTTTTTGGATAATTTTCCCATTGCAAGGAAGCTCTTGAGTTTGAGTCGGTTTTCAATTTTTCGGAAGAAGCTCGAAAGGGGTCGGAACCTAGTTTTGTCTAAGCTCGGTTGTCCCTTTCCAGCATTCTTATGGTATGACAACCCCGGGATCGATAGTACGTGATTGTGTCTTGATTTAGAGATCTACGACTCGAAGATGGTGTCTAGAGATTCGGAGTTGAGTTCACGTTCGACCCAAGAAGAAAAACCAAAAATGTTAGTTCGATTTGATAATTGAATCGAAACCAATTAGTTGGCGTCGTCCGTATAGCAACAATTTAAAATTCGTCGGCTTCTCTTCATGTTCGATTGAGGAGGCTTTGACATGACATGTGTGTGCCTTTGTGAAATAGTACACTTGCCAGACGAGGCTGTTCTCGTGTCGACCCATTTGATATAAGTCTTCTTAAAGTTCATTATAGAGCTGCCAAGCGTCAGTGATAAGCCAGCTAATAAAGATGAAATAATTAGGATTTAGTGGATACATATATATATAATGTTGGCAATTGCTGTTTTACTATGAACTTTAGAAAACCTACTAGGCAGCCTCATGTCTATGTTTTGGGATATAATTGAGCTGACACAGTATATAGTTCAAAACGTGACTCGATTCGAACATTCAAAATTCTCTAGGATTTAACTTGAGCTTGATTCTTAAATCGATTTCAATAGGTGTTTCGTAGAATTAAGCTGATCAACTCCATTTGATTCGATACAATCCGATAGTTGAAAATACAGAAAAATAGGATGGCTAGGTTCGCGAGCTGCTCGGTTTCCATATTCAAGAGCTAGTCGGACTCCGAAAGAACTCGCTCAATCAGGCTCGAGTGATTCGCGATGGTGAGAGCTCTGAGTTCTTTCAAGGATAGCTTGATTCAGGTACCATTTCGGGTCTTGGGCATGCCATGATAATAACAAATACAAGTGTTCACCTCGATCCTTATAACCTAAATGAGATATAACATGGGCAACGTATCAGGACACATTACACGGGGAATCCAAAACGAAGATGAATATTACGAGGCATATTCTTTCTCAAAGAAGTACAAGGAAACGAAAGCACCCGGTCCTTGTCCCCATGCCTGCTTTCAATGTCCCTAAAGTCGACCATGTGTTATGGGAAAGTATTGCGATAGCGGCAAATATTTGTAGAAAGTGAAGAGGAAGATGGAATTCGACCCAAAAAAAGAAATAAAAAGAGGAAGAGGGAAAAAAGATGCCACCAGGAACTAGGGGTGTAAATGGTTCGGTTCGGTTCGGTTTTTCAAGAAAACCGAACCTAACCGAACCATTAAGGGTGCCCCCTTGAACCGAACCGAAAAATCGATTTGGTTCGGATCAGTTTTCGGTTTCAAGTTCATTAAGCAGAGAGAGAGAGGAGAGAGGAGAGAGAAGGGGAGAGAGAGAGGGCAAAATAGCCCTAAATCGAAGTGTTTATTTTAGTTCGGTTCGATCCAAACCGAAATAAAAATAAACGAACCGAAAAAAAAATTGATTTATTTTGATGATCCGAACCGAAACCGAAACCGAACCGAAATGCACGAAATTTTCGGATCGGTTTGGTTCGGTTCGTATCTCGGTTCGATTTTTCGGTTCGGTTCTGACATCCCTACCAGGAACATTAAAGTAGCCAGCACAAAACTTTGTCCGATTGACACATTCGTAACCACACCTGCTTGATCTATGCGATACACATCTCCATTTCGACGTCGCCGACCAGGTCGACCGAAATCAAGTTCCCGATAGATCGAATCAAGTCAAGAAAAAAAACCGGTGTCGGCCGCATCCATCCCTCCTTCCCCCTTTCCGCCGTGAGCAAACCGACGTGCCGAGCCCCCGAGATTACTTCGAGCGAAAGACGTTATATTCTCTTTTTCTGTCGGGTCAATCATTCTTACACTAATTGTCCAGGGCATCGCAAATTCAGTGGCAGGGAGATCGAACGATAAGGGTACTTATTCTTTCACTCTTTTGTTTTTTTGGCCTTTATTTTTGTCCTGTGATTTGAGATATGGAGACGTGCAAGAAAGTCCAAGTTCCGGTTCGGCTTTGGTTTTGCACCACTCCTTTTCTTTCAAATGGGATGACCCTGAAATGATTTTTCCCCCTTTTTTTTGGGGGGTACAGGACTCGGTGGGTGTTGAATTTTGGAAATCTCATATGTATGATCTTATCTCCCAAGGCCGTCCAGAAGTGTGTCGAGTTGTTCACGTAAAATCTTGTGACGATGTGCTCAAATTTGGTTAGAATGTCCGACCCAATTCCATGAAGCGGAGTGGAAAGGGCGGGGAACCCGCTATGATACCAGGTTAAGATGTCAAATCCAAAAACTTAAACGAGTAAGCGGGAGGAAAACGGACATGCATAATTAAAATATAGACCTATAGTCAAGCAGTACGAGACACTTCAATAAAGTTGACGATTGTGTGCGCGTCTTTTGGGGGCGAAAGCCATTTCATTATGACACATTTATTCTAAATTTTTTTTCAGCGGCACCAAAAATCTTAAACGCATTCACCTTTCAGTCGAAAATCCTATCAATAAGAATCGTTTAAGAATCTGCCTACATAGACGCCGGAAAGCAAATAATGTTGACATGATGCTCGCTAATGAAAATGACGTCGTTTGTGTCACACGTGTAAAAATTTGGGATTTTTTACGCCATAAGAAAAAATTTAGGGTAAACGTATCCTATCGGGTATGACATTTGATTTTTGATGTCACGAAAGAAAAGTACATGAAAAATCTAATTATCACGCCACGTGGAAATTGTACAGAGCGTTTCCATTAGGGTTTTGCTGAATTCACGCACGCGGGCGCGCAGATCTCGGGTTACTGTAAGAAATATCCGAGCGACAACGATCGAACGATCCGAAATACGTTCGTTCGTTGGGGAGGGGGGCGGGGCGGGGCCCGCCGCGTAAGGTGGAGGTGGGTGACAGCGCACCACCATGGGCTGTGGCGGGGCGCTGCCTGCCCACAGAACCTCGAAAGAGTCGGCGTTAACGATGTGGCGATGACGACCAGGATGACGTGTCGGGGGGGCGAGGGGGGTTTCTCCTCCGCGATCGTTTCGCCACGCCACGCCACCCCACCCCCGCCAAACGCTTTGGCCTCCCGACGCCGACGAAGCTCCCCCCCTCCCCCCTGCCTCTCTTCTTTTTATTACATATATATTTTTGTTTGTTTTTTTTTGTTTGGCCTTATTTAGATGAATTGGTAATTTCTCTCTGCCCCTCGACGCCGCCACGGACCACTTCGTCCTTTCTTGGGGGGCATCTCGCCATGTGCACAACTGCGAGATCGCGCGAATTTTCTCCCAAAAAACGACATCGATTCCCCCCCTCCTTTGGACATAGCTACCCAACACATGTAATTCACATAGCGGGGGTCCGGAAAAAAAAAAACAAACAATGGGTAGATAGTCGAAACTCAAAACGCGATTTGTTCGGACAAAGGCACGTGTTGATGTCGTGCGCTCCCGGTATTGGAACGGGCGAATCGATCGAGACGATTAGGATTCGAAATTGAAGCGTAATTTTTTATATGAACACCGTTACCTGCCGAATGCAATCTTCTTCTTTTTTTTTTTTTTTTTTTATGTCTCTCTCTAAAAAAACAAGCTGACCCAACATTGCAACGGCTCCATAGTGACCACGTTCCTAGGTTCCTTAATCATTCACTTTTGAGTTTTATTCTTTGTCCCGCGCTAATTGGTCAAAGGAAATTAGTATTGTACAGCCATGAGTTTATCTTAGAAAGATCGCTCTAATATTTACGTTCTTATCGTACTTTTAACTCTACTATTTTTATAAGAGATATCTAATTTATTCCAACATGGCGAATAGTTATATCCTTTGTCTGTTTCGTGCGACCATTTTAGCACGTGCTCGGTTATCGAAAACGCCCAGTTGGACTTATTTAATTGTGTCGACGCGCAACGATATGAGAATATATTATTGGGGAAATAGTGAAAGATGGAAAGTAATTGATGATTACCGAGATGAATTTGAGTCAATTTTGTGTAAAAGCTAAGTTGGGAAGATCTATGTCCTTATCAGATGTCGTGCGATTACCAAGTTTCCGACTCATTTTGCAAGAACATCCGCCGTTGTCCCCTCTCTCTCTCTCTCTCTCCCTCTCTCTCTCCGCCTTCGGTGCCGGGGCGCCGCAAGAATCGCCGGAACCTGGTTGGTTTCGGCAGCGCGAAGCATTCTCGGGTCGTCATCATTTTTGGGTCTGCCCTGTTTTCTCCGGAGGAGGGCCGAGTTCAAGCCGCGGGCAAATCCGTTCTTGTGAGGTCTGTCTGCTAAAACTCTCGGTTTTGATGTATCAGGACCCGGTATTCTTCCGAATTCCATAGCGATCAATCGTTTTTCTCTGCGTTTCTTTTGATTTTTGGGTGAATTCTTGGTTCTTTCTGGAAGAGAGAAAGGAATTCCCCAGCTCGATGGAGCTTGTGGAATATCTTGGTTTCGGCTTTGCGGCGAGTCTTGACGAACGTTTCCTGCTTTTTCAGCATTTCTTTGCGGTTGGTCAAGTTGTGGGGTTGGTTGTTGCTGATCATTTTGCCTGTGTCGATTCTTGGGTGTGTGTTTGTTCTTGAGATGCTTCTGTATGAGCCTTTTTAATGCGTGTGCTCGGGCAATCCAATGATCAGTGCTTTTGCTTCTCTTTCTCTTTCGCCGTTTTCTGAGAATTCCGAAGAAAGAAAAGTTTTTGCCCAGTCTGTGGGGTTAACGACCAAGGAAGAGCTATGTCTCTGAGAGAAGTTTGATAAAATTCATGCTGAATTGAGTGCTATCGGTTGTTGCTCGAGAAATTTGACTTTATTGCACTCTTCATCTTGATCTGCTCTGTATTGGTGCATTGCCTGGACAAGAGAGATCTCTATCTAGCAGTTATGTTTTCATTTGATTTGGTTCTGTTTTTGTTGTGCCAGTCACCTCAGATGTGGTAGTAATGATCTTTTTTTGCCCTCTTTACTGCTTGCTTTATTGTGCTTTCTGGGTGGTCATTACAAAGCGCTTCCTGTCTGTGTACTTGTAAAAAGCCATATCAATGTGTCAATTCTCTTATGTATTACTGATGGCAATTTGCATGTTTGTAGACTTATTCGTAGAAATCACTGTGGAACTTTATGAGAGATCTCTGAGTTTATCTGATTTGCTAATAAGGTCATCTTTTGCATTCTTTTGAAGATCTTTGGATCACTGCTTTACCTTTTATTTTGTTATTTAGTTGGCCATGTGGGTTTGAGATGCTAAACTGGAAGACTATTGAAAGGCTGTCACAATTCATTATCTCCATCTCAAGGCTATGTAGAGTCTTTTTAGTTGAGGCAGTGAACTATTCACTCCAGTGTGGTTCGTGGCTTAAGATAAATGTTTAATGTGTAAGATGCCCTTCCTTTTTCTTATTCTAAAGGCTTTGGTTCTTATTTTAATTTTGGATTGGTTGAATCGGCTCATGTTGTATTGCGATCTCATCCTGATACTTTCTTTAATTGGCTAGGGAAAATCATTAGAGAGTTTGTAGGTCGATCTTGTTATAATGACTTTGGAGTTAGATGGTGTGTTGGTTGGTTTAATCTTTGTTTGAAACTCTTTGCATTGCCTTGCCTTGCCTTGCCTTGTTTCCTTGTGTGTTTTTCTGTACCATGATGCAGTTGAAGTTCCTTAGGCTGTACGATGCATGCTAGCAGTTGGAAGTATATTTGAGATTTTAAAAGGGACTTCCAGTTCATCTGGCAACGTAATCATATTCCTTCTTTTGCTCATTTGAGTCAATGCCACATTGTTGAAACATGGCTTCTCATTTTTTATTTTTTTGATAGACTGAATGCTTGACAGTGGCCTGCCAATTTTCTTTGGTATATGGAGTTTAGTGCACTGGTTAATTTGAATATTGTATAAGATTTGCCAAGGAGTTGGGTTTTGCTTGTTAATCCATAACATGTTAACTTCGTTCTCGTTAATGCTTTTAGTTCTTCTAGAGTGATTCCAAACACTGAACTTCTTAAATTTGCTAGTTGGTGCGAACTAATTAAAGCCTTCCAAAATTCTGCGTATCAATGCGTCAAGAACTCAGGAAGATGAATAAGAAACATTGTGCTTGGTTCTTTGTTACTTAATGCCTCAATGTGGTAGCCATCCTAATATTACCTTTCCAATCTTGATTTCTCAACTTTTTGCTTATAGGATGATCTACAGCTTCGGTTTCATCTTGCAACCTCAGCTACTCCTTTGAAGGCTCTTAGCTGGTCTAAAGTGCTCATCAACAGTGTAGATTATTATCTGAGGAAATGGATCGCTGTGACACTTCAGGTTTCGTTAGCGGAGGAGGAATGCGCTACTCGATGGACATGTAATGTAGATACATTTCTTGTTTTTTTTTGCTAATTTAGACACACCAGAAATCAGGCAGGCCGCCACACACTGTTTAGATAAGACACATCGGTAGTCATCTCATGGACCCTAGATTTCAGAACTTGGGTTTTGCTGCCAATTCTTCTTCAAATGCCTTCAAGACATTGGGCAATTTACCTCATGCCCAAGGAACAGGTGTTGAATATGGTACCGACACCATTTTACAACTTGATTCCCCTGCTTCGCTTTGTCTCTTGTCTGCCTCGAAGGGAGTCAAACGCAAGTGGAAAATGATTGATGGCTCCATCAACCGGCAAGTTGGCTCGTCCTTGTCTCTTGGGCTAGGTCAGCCTTCAAGTTCCTCGGACAGCAAGGGAAGTTCAGGAACTGCCTGCACTACAACATCTTCAGCTAAGGAAACTGACGAGGAATCGTCAATGGATCTTGATCTGGATTTCACTCTGAGTATTGGCAATGATAAGGCACCTTCCAGGAAGAAAGTTGCTAGTCCTGGTACGAAAGCCTTGGAGTTGCAGCCTAAGGTTGACTTGGAGCTAAGTCTCTCTACTGGGCCTTCTGAGTCTGATATAACCTGCATTCATCCAAATTCTTCTCAAATATGTTCTGGCCTGGAGATTCCCTTATGCATTGGTGGGTACACAAATGTAGATGAAAGATCAACATCGAGTTGCTGGAAATCAGGGATATATTTGGATCCCTTTCACAAGGTGAACAAAGATAATAGCTTCTTTCAGGACCAGGTTTCTGAAAAGACAGATTTGGTCCCTGCTGTTCCAGACCTGTCTTCAAGCGTAATATCTACTCCAAAGAGTTCGATCACCTGTACCTCTGGCCAGCGAAGTAGTACTTCAAAAATGTGCCAGGTTGAGGGATGTGGGAAGGGGGCAAGAGGTGCCTCAGGGCGTTGTATATCCCATGGAGGTGGCAGAAGGTGTCAAAAACCTGACTGTCACAAGGGGGCCGAGGGCCGAACTGTGTATTGCAAGGCCCATGGAGGTGGTCGGCGTTGCGAGTTTCTGGGATGCACCAAGAGTGCAGAAGGGCGCACAGATTTCTGCATCGCCCATGGAGGTGGTCGGAGATGCACCCACGATGGTTGCACTCGAGCTGCACGAGGGAAGTCGGGCTTGTGTATCCGGCATGGTGGAGGCAAAAGATGCCAGAAAGAGAACTGCACAAAGAGTGCCGAAGGTCTCTCAGGTCTTTGCATCTCGCATGGAGGCGGCCGCCGCTGCCAATATACAGGGTGTGCGAAAGGGGCACAAGGGAGCACCATGTTTTGTAAGGCTCATGGTGGGGGTAAGCGGTGCACGTTCATGGGTTGCAACAAGGGTGCTGAAGGGAGCACCCCCTTTTGCAAAGGTCATGGTGGGGGAAAGAGGTGCGCCTTCCAAGGTGGGGGAGTTTGTTCCAAGAGTGTGCATGGTGGCACCAATTTTTGTGTGGCTCATGGGGGTGGGAAACGTTGCGCTGTGCCTGAGTGCACAAGAAGTGCGAGGGGTAGGACCGATTTTTGTGTGCGTCATGGTGGGGGCAAAAGATGTAAATTTCATGGGTGCAGCAAGAGTGCTCAAGGAAGTACGGATTTTTGCAAGGCGCATGGTGGTGGGAAGAGGTGCTCTTGGGGACAGCCAGGGTCTGAGTTCGGGGATCACAATACTGGTTCATGCAACTCTTTTGCCAGGGGAAAGACTGGTCTCTGTGCACTCCACAGTGGATTGGTGCAGGATAAAAGAGTCCATGGGGGTGTCAGTGTGGGGCCTATATTACATGGTCAGAAAGTTATGCAGCCTGAAGAGATGGAAGAGGTTGCGAATGGTGAGGATATGAATATCGATGTTGGAAATATCTGCAATTTGGATTTGAACCAATATGGGCCCGGTAGTTCGAAATTGCCCACTGCGCAAGGCCTTCCTGCCGAGTCGACCATTGCTTCGGAAGGTAGGGTACATGGTGGTAGTCTGATGGCAATGCTCAGTGGTGGCATGGCTCTTGGCTCGGACAAGGACATAAGCTTAGAGAGTGATGCACCCGAAATAGGAAACTCATTGATGGTGCCACAAAGGTGGATATAAGCACATTAGGCAACTCTCTCCTCCAAATTATAGTTGCTGAAGTTTCCCTGTATGTTTTCCATCTGTCAGTTCTGGTTTGTTTGCGTTAGGTTGTGAGTTAGGTAGTAATGATTGAAAATCTGGAGCAAAACTAAGGGTTATGAACTCAGTAGTATATAGGCATAGCGTTTGGCAATTGTGGTTTTCATGAATTCTCTTGTACATGTATATTGTTATCCTCAGGTCCTCATGTGTAGTGTTTCATAATAACGTGTGACATTTTGGCAATAAAATAGCTCCTTTTCACCGTCTGGATTCACTGGTGCTCGCCAATTAGTATTTCGGTTATTCTTGATTGCATGATTATATGATGCTAAAAGCTCAGTAGAGTTGGCTCCAAGTATACTCTTCTGGTTCTACTGTGGATCTGTTTCTTCTTGTTTTGGAATCACTTTCTTCATTTGCACGCTTCAATTTGTGCATTGAAATTTGTGAAGAAGTTGCAAATACATAGACTCTGTCCGTCATAAACCGTGAATGTGGCTTTGCACTCACCAATTGCAATCGCAAAGTTATAGTTTCAGTCATTCATAAGCTTCATGAGGACATGCTTGATGAAATTGAAGACTCTGTAAAGGTTTGACGATTATCATGCTATTGTATCATTGTATCCAATACCTTGAAAATCTGTTCATCTGTCTAAGACACTAAAACGGCGTGATTCACGCTAGCCCCATTGGTATGAAAAGCGGCTCGTCTGTATAAAACAGGTCAAACCGTGTCAGCCCTGTCGGTTTCGAGTTGATGAGCCACCCCTAAGGAACGGGCCGAAAGTGACTACAAATGCATACAGACTAGAAAAGACTAGAGAGGGAGCCAGTGTCCTACCGCCGTCCGCCACAACTTCAGTTTCTTCACTTGTATCGTTCAGTTGATAAGAATGCAGATGCATGGTCACGAGACAAGATCACCTTCCATCCTGTGACACATTTTTCCTGGTGGAAAGCTCTCCGCTTTGTTCTTTGCTTTTGGTCCACCAACGGTCAAGGAATCAATCCTCGTCACAGACAAAAACCTTAACAGGTTCCCATTATCTCCTCTCTGCAGAAAGCAATCATATTCCTTCTCATTCTATGACATTCACAGTCACGAACCAAGGATCATGATATCGAAAGATTGGTTTTTTTCTGCAATGCAACTCTCTCATTCATCTTTAATCTTTCTTTTCTTTTCTTGGTTACAAGCGAAAACCAGGTGTGGCATATAAGTCAAGTAACGAGAGGAACATCAAAGGAAAGGATGGTCGTACTGCATCTAGCAAAATCAAAGCTCCCAAGCCATCAGGGATGCGTTATCAGCAAAGTGAAAGAAGATGAACAATTAAATTGCGACTTTTAAAGGTTGGATGATGCTCTAAAATAAATAATGATATTTAGGAATTAATAAAAAAGGTAAAGTAAACATACTGCACTTGAATAATATATACCGCGGACTTTCAATTAGTGTTTCATGATGTATTTAAATACACAATCACAAAATTATTTCATTTACACATTGAAATGCAAATAAGTCTCTCTTCCCCAAGATTAGTGTATTTCGAGTTCCAGGAGAGAGATTTTCAGCTCACGAACTGAAAGTCGCCCATTCAAATTCCACTGATTAGATACTGACTACTTTGAGTTAGAACCACTTGTACAGTTCAAGGGCCTTGATTTAATTGGTTTGCATAATGCGCAAGTGTTCTATGGGCTTTCATGTAGCTAGACGTTTCAGTCAGTACCGTTTGATTATAAGAAAATTTTTATCGGTCTCTTTTGGTTTTGATTGTACACAGATAAGCGTTAATAAAATCTTCGTTGTAATCTATGATATGTGGATTCTTACTTTCCACATACATTGGCGGCACTAAAAAGTTTGTCCATAAGCAAAGCTATGATACTAACACATGTTCAAGTTTTAATTTGGATAACTGCGTTCATTCGCTAGATGATGGATATTTTTCTTTCACGATTATATATAAGTGTGAAAAATGTTGTACACAGTGTCATCAATTTGGATTACTGTGTCCATTAGCTTATCATTTCCCTTTGGACTTACATGTTACTTAATCAACTATGGTTGGCATACTCTTAACTTCAACTTATATCACTAGATTCTGGATTCTGCAACCCATAATCATCATACTCAGAAAAACACTCCATAGATTGTATTAATTAAGCAAGGAAAAAATCACAACTAGTTCCATCCGTCGGCTCTTGTACTCTGATTTTACATGATATATGTATTGTGCTCCTGAAGGCACGTTGTTCTGGTTTACAAGAAACTTCATGTATACCCCCATCCTTTTTCAGTATTATGTGAAGCGAACATTTTGTTTAGGAAGTCGTTTCAGTCTCTCACAGTTACAGGGCCTCGGACTTGAACTTGGCCATCTTAGAGAGCTCTTCAACTGCTTCGACCAAATGATCCAACCTAGCCACGAACTCAATGAGCAGGGAAGTGAACGTCGCGAGGGAAAGCGATGCGGTACTCTCGAGCGCATTCATTCTCGGCAAAAAATCCATATTCAACACTCCCTCTTCTTCGAATGCGTCGACTTCTCTTGACGGCCAGGAATAAAGCCTCCTCGATTGCCTCCTCATCATCTCATGGTACGTCTCGGGCTGCGCAGCAGGCCCCGAGGTTTGTTCGCCAGAGCTTTCATCGGGCTTTGGATTGAGCGGCTTGCTGATGGAAGGTTTTTCAGGCGTGTCGATGTGGGATGTGAGGAGATAGGAGTGCAGGTCCATAGCGCCTTGCAGCTTCTCGGCGGAGGAGTGAACTCTTTTAAGCAGAGAGGTCTTGAGTGTTTTCTTCATGCTACTTATGTCCTTCCCCAAGCTCCTCACCAGCTCGGCTGCTTGATTCGCAACGTCTTGGATCTCCGAGCGGAAGGCAATCCGGAGATTGTATGGAGCCTGGATTAAATAATGGATATCAAATTACATGTAGGTTCGAAATGAATTATGAAATAGCCCATGTTATGCATCTGAGCACTCACATACGTATTGATCTGCATGGTAGATGTCGTGAAATTCACTTGGAGAGTTTTTTCTGCATACACTTTCCCATTTTTCCTAAATAGAATTATACTAACGACGTCTTAATACGTGCAAGGCTTCGAACGGGTTAGTTTTTCAGACAGTATTATCCAATAATATGCTTTAACTGTGCTCATATAATGAGGTTGAGATTCCCAGGTTTCATGATGCAGTGACTACCCAATTTTGGATTGGAAAATTATTTACAATGTCATGTTGAGAAATGGAAGCCAAGCTTTGAACGGGTTAGTTTTTCAGGCAGTATTATCTAATAATATGCTTTAACTGTGCTCATATAATGAGGTTGGGATTCCCAGGTTTCATGATGCAGTGACTACCCAATTTTGGATTGGAAAATTACTTACAGGGTCATGTTGAGAAATGGAAGCCAAGCTTCTTTACTTTATGATCTCTCCTTTTTAGGGAATAGACTTTGTGAGCAGGTCAGAGGAATCTTTGCATAACTACAAATGGTTGCAGCAAAATACCATCGATAATGCTGAGAATATAGAATATATGCGAACGCGATCGCGACGCGATACAAAATTCTAGGTCCCTTTCGATGACACAAGTTACCAGCCAATATTCTTCTCTCTCAACCAATACAAACAACAGGAACAAATAGACGTTGTGGAGAACCTGACGATTAAACTAAATTTATTAAAAGAGCATATTCTTTCCTGTTAATTTCCTGAGAATTCTGGAGGTCTTGATTACTAAAACCAGCGAAACCGAGGGTTTTCTTCGCAGATTCCTAGTTGCCAGCCACTCGTCGTACAATTAGACCTTAGGATGATGGTTATGTTCTGATTCCTCCCTAGTGGACAGTGTATATTCCATTTCCATCTGATAACATGTAATCAAGACACGAATGCTGGAAAGCGAAAGGATAAAGGAAAAAGCCGACGCGCTATACACACATAAACCATACCTGAATCTCTGAGTGCAGAACACCATGAAGAGCCATGACCTCGTAAGCGCAGTATCTCAAGACTGCCCCAACTTTGACGTACTCTGACCACGGGTAGAAGAAGTGTCGGAATCTTCCATGAGGAGGCTCCCATTTCGCTGAATTTGCCTAAAACATTGGAGCGAGAGAACATCTCGTGTTAATGTATGCTAAAATCATGATATCTTACCAAAAAGAAAGTCGATAGAAAAGGTCCCGAAACATATGTTAATGGAAGATTATTTGAGAAATGGATTAGGTTAGGAAGGTAGTACCAAAGAATCAAGCTTCGCTGAGGAGTTCAACGTTGCACGGCATTTCCGGTAAGCAGGCTCGTCAGGAAATTCGTCCATGACTGTCTTGGAAAACTCTGGATGGTCTGAACCGTCGTCTTCCAAATATTTCTTCACGCACTCTAAATAAAGAATAGGACGTTGTGTCACTTTCGAAGGTAACGATTCCGTTCTAATACGCAGATAGTATTGGCAATATTCAAAGTAGAAGCGAGGCCTAAGAGGATATTAAAACAGGTCCAAAACAAGCCAATGCCCTCTAGATCAACAGATAGAAAATTCACCTTCTAGCGAGTCAGCGACCGAGTCGAAGCTCTTGACCAGTTCCCTGTGCAGCTGCTCTCCGGCCCAGATAGGATGAACAAGCACATTCACTATGACTGCCACAAACCCTCCAATCGCAATTGAGTAGAGCCTACCCATCGCCGTCCTTATGGGGCTCCCCATCCTATAACCAGATACTATTATCAAGCAGAAGGTGAAGAGTATGACCCTGAATCCGTACTCATACGGAACGAGCGAGGGCCACAGTTTCATGAACGATGTAACAGTTCCTGTACCGAGAAATTGGCAACAAAATGTTTCAATAAATTGCATATTGATTCATTTGACGTGGCAAACCAGAGATGCATACCAACGAGGAAAATGCTAATGCCAATTATAAAAGGTTCAGCAACCCGGCCAGCGCATAAAGCGAGCTGACCAACCACGACGGCCAGAATCCCTGCGAGTAAGCTGCCGAGTGCCCGGTTGAATCCTCGGTTGAAAGTAGCACCTTCAAGAATTTAAGAGAAAAAGTCATACATCAGAAACTCGTTATGTATGATCAACACTTCGGCTGCTCAGTGCGTACAACATCAGTAAAATTAATCTGTTTGTTTCAGTTAACCAAAGGATGTTTACTTTTCCTTGAAAAACCTAATGTACAGATTTAAATTTGTAAACCTTCCCGTTGAATCAATATGATCCTAAACATTTTGGTGAAAATGCAATCACGTCCTCTCCCCTGAATTTTCTAATGTGTCGATCCAGTCATTGCAGTCAAGTCCTCCCGGCTGAAAGGCCGGCAATCTAACGTGGACAATTTTAGATAATTGCTAAATTTTCTAATTTTTCTGATTCTTTTTTCTTTTTTCTTTTCATTCCTTCTTTTCTGCGGATCCTCTTCAAACTCTAGATCATCTTCTACCTTTGGATCGTCCATCGTTCATTATCTTCGTGCGCTTGAAGCCACCATTGGACTCTACGACGACCCCCACTGCAATCACTCAGCATCGGATTCAACGTTCGTGAGCTCAGATTCAAGGGTGTGGCATCATGTTTTTTTCTCCATAATAACCCCGATTCACAAAAGCTCCAAGTTAGAGGTCACTGTCATGGAGCGAAGGTTTTCAAGGCACGATACGTCGAGAATGTGGCCAAGATGATTGGTCATGCCATGAACCTTCTAGGGGTCTAGAGTTTCATAAGGAGGGTATAATGTGTAAAGTACCCTTGTATTCATTCTGGTAATAAATGAGGTTTCATGGGTACTCTAAAATACTTTCAAGGGCATAACGGCTACGGTACACTTGTATTCATTCTCGTAATTAATAGGGATACTTGGTAGATACAGAATCATTAGATCACGTAGATATTTGTGGTTGTAATAGAAGTGCTTATGTATAAATAGGGGTAGGGATCTCACAAATCCAATACAATGAGTGTGATTGAGCGTTCTCTCTGAGTTTCTCTTTACGGGGAAGGCTAAGCTTAGACAACTTTAGTAAGGAGTGAACAAGTCAAAGGAGGTTTAAGTGTTGTATGGTCGCTGCATGGTCACAATCTGCGGTGTCGGCCCGTGACAGATGTCACGGCATACATGTACTTTAGCCAATCTTTCCAATAGCTTAATTTTTATTTTTTTGAAGAGCAGCATGAGCATGAAAATATGCATGCATGTATGTATGGTTTGTCGCTTACCAACTGTATATTCGAACATGATGGCGACGGTGAGGATCGACCAAATAATGTTGGTGCCGAAAATTTCATAGGGTGCGCGGAGCAATATGAGCAAGGACACTAGCAGGACAGCTAGCCCAACTTTGAGAGCAAATATCACCCTGTTGCTATCTTCCTTGCAAAATTCCCAAACACTCCATAACCATGCTTTGCATGAGAACGCATCACCATACCCGAACTCCTTCCCGCTTCCCGGCTGTTTATTACTTTTGGTAGCCGAAGGAATGTCGATTTGGATACTACCCTTCTTCCCTTTCATCTTTCTGTGCTTCGAAATCCTGACAATTTGCGCTTGACTTGAGTCCAATATTGAGAGTGCTAAATGAGGGAGGAGACCTGGCTCCCAAAACAAGTATGCTTTGGTTATATATATGAAGGAATGTGAGTTAGCAGTAGTGGGAGGTGGGAGGATATAAGGTCCATGGCGTTAGAAGATTTGTGGATGAAATAGATTTGGAAAGGACAAACTGATTTAAAGGAGTGGGTTGTAGCTAATTTGTTGGGCAACTAGGGAGGGCAAAGTATGTCCAGTCAGGAGTAGATGCACAGACCGAAGAAGAATAATACTCCAATAATAGAAGAGACAATGAAGTAGGAGAAAGAAGGCAAAGAAAAGGGGGAAAAAACAACTCAAGATAAGGAGATGCTTAACCTCAATAATGCTGCGATGGACGGAGAATTAGAATCTCGGAAGCATGTTTCAGTCGCCATGTTTGCTACTTCAAAATATGTGTAATTTTCATTTTTGCGCGAATAGTAATTTTTTGGCTGCAATAGTGAAGACTCCATTTTGATTCGTACAGTAGGGCGATGCGAATTTTCATCATACATGAATATGTGGACGACTTATATGATTTTCCGAATCCCATCTTTTTGGTCCAATAAGTGGTCGGATATGGACATATATTCGGAGTTTGGTTGTTGTCGGAGTTTGGTTGTCATAATTAGATAGGTCGCTAAATAATTCGAGTTGATGGCGAAAAAGACCTAAACTTTCTTGAGATGATTCCTCACAATGCCTGGAAAAGGAAGGAGACTGAACAAGAATGATGGAGAAAACAAGAAGGCTAGGACCATGCAGTTGCAAGTAGCAACCTTTTTAAACTTTCTTCACGTGAGAATATAAACCGCTGACACTCTCCCTCACACAGTGATCAGCAAATTGATTAATTTCATCATGTTGCACAACGAAACTTCCCATTCAACATTCGCTTTATGGGCAGCTCTCGCTTCTGTTATCACCTGAATGATTAAAACTTCAAAGCATATCTTTCCTTCTGTCGCGATTTTCTTCGTTATCTTGGGTTCCAATCCCTGAGGTATCTATATATTACTACTTATTCCTGCCATGGCATTTATGCTTTTATTCTTCCAAATTTTTAATCCTCTCAATATGTCATTGTAATCTTTGCAAGGTTTTAGTTATTCTTATTCTTCCCAGGAATGGATAGATGCCCACGATTTTTGCTTCTTTTATTTAGGGGGGTAAACCTGGCCTTACCTGAATGATGTTTTGCTCTAATTCTCTGACCTGATCTCAGATTTATGTACTCTACATCAGCAAATTCATGCTAATGGCTCCTGTAGATTGAATATATTCATCTGGTGGGTCTAAACTAATGGATTTCTCCACCCTAGGAAACTAATGGCTCCTGTAGATTGAATATATTCATCTGGTGGGTCTAAACTAATGGATTTCTCCACCCTAGGAAACTAATGGCTCCTGCAGTTCCGGAATGAAGAATATATTCCGAATACAGATGAAGATAACATGTCCATTACTTTGTTTTCTCTTTCCCTTTTTTTTCTTTTGCCTCTTTTTAGTTTCCCTTCTTCTGAGGGAATGCTCAATTGAAGTGGATGTAGAGGTGAACACGAAGAGAACATTCTTGATCATCATCAAAAGTGTGATGTCAACTGTCACACTATAGCCAATCAGAATCTACACTCCCCGGTTAAGACCTGTCTAAACGAAGGTGTTTCCACGAAAAAAAAAGCAAATGAGGAAAAGGACAGCATTCTGCATTTAAGTTTTTGGATACTAAGCTTGCTATAAGCAAATGAGGAAAAAAATTTAAGCAACCCTTAGCAGTAAAATCTCGTAGTTTCTAATTGATAGGTATTAGCACGGCATATGTTCATGTTATACCTTGAGGGACCGATCCCCATCGTATCCGGACGCACTCGAAATTTCTTATTTTGGTCGTAGCTCTTGTACAACATATCAGCACACAAACACTTAAAAGTTTCTCATTAATAATCACTTGTGTGGTATGGAATTTCGTATAGGAGTTACGACAAAAATGAACTCGACCTCGACAAGTTACAATGACAGATCGGTTTCTTGAGGGACCTTAGAAAAAACTATGTGGGTATTGCATTAAAAGTCATAAATGGATGGTAGATGATATTCGAACACAAACTATAAATAATTTAAACTCTTTCTACTTTTGCTAAAGAATATGCTTATTCTGTTTACATACATGAGCAACAATCCAGGTTCAATCTGGAAATTGGCCAAACTGGTCTTGCAAGTCCCATTCAAGGTTGGTTCCAAGAAGAATCGGGTAAGTTTACGAGCTCAAAACCGGCAAATCTTCTTGGTCTATTTGAGTCCCTGAGTAGAGCCTTGACCCCGGGTCTATCGGGAACTGAACTGACCAGGCCAATTCGTCGATAGTAATCATCGTTGAACCGGTGAGCATATTCTTTTTTTAAAAATCCTTTATTAGCAAATTAACAACACAAAATAAAGTAAAATAAAATAAAAGACTCACAAAGACAAAGTCTCAACTCAATATAAAATAAAAATTTAAAATAAAAAACTCAAAATAAAAAAAAATTAGTTATTTATTTTCAATTTACCAATAATTAAAAAAATGAAAGACAAGGAAACTAGCTTGTTCGACTTCGAGCTATAATAGATCAATTTGGTTCCCAGTTCTAGCTTTGGAACAAGACGATATGAAATTTATTCGCCGCTACCGATATGAGGTAATCCTCTCATACCTCTGTGCTCTAGAAAACAAGTAAAAGTGTTGCAGCTACTTCAATGGTAAATTGCAAATCACAAAAGTAATTTGACTAAAAAATTGAAGTGATGGATGGCAATGTCACATTTATTACACGTGTAGGTGAATCTCATATGTGGTTATTGAACCTTAGTGGAATTTGCAATCGAGTCAATGAACATAAATTTCAACCACCTAAGGTACTAAACTTTCAAATTTTTACAATTGTTGCACCTTGATTGGAATACGATTGATATTGGGCAAAAATGTGAAATATCATGCCCCAAGTGGTGATGACTCGTCATCCAAAAATTGGCCACATGTCTACTGCATCAAAAGTTCACCAGAAAATTAATCCGATTTCGATCAAAGGGTATCAATTTTAAAAATTAAAATTTCGGTTATCACATATGAGATATACCCGAATATGTACATATATACTCATGAAGTCCATGTCTATTCTAAAGTCCATAATGAGGAAATTTAATGTCAATTTGCTCTATTTTAGCTGGGTAATCTGCGAATCTTAGCTATAATTAGTAGAGGCAAAGCTACTACTTAGATGCTTTATTTACCATACTTGTCAAGTTGAATGAAGAGTCAATGAATAATGAAATGTGTAGTGAATAGCAGGGTTTCTCGACAACGGAAATCTAAGTGCAAGTGGCTAGATTAGTGGACTCGACGATAATACTTTAATACTAGTAGCTCAATAATAATGGAAAAATTACCAAAAAACTCATAACTCTATTGCACTTGTGTCAATGTAGTCCTAAACCTTTTAATCATGCCAATTGAGTCCTAAACATTTTCACATTTTTGCTTATTGAGTCCATCTGGCCAATTTTGGCCGAAAATCACGGATGTGGACGCTAAACGCCGACCGTCCTACATAATATGCTCTTGCCCAGACGTAGCGAGGGCCGGGATGCCTTCGTCCAAACCTAGCAAGGGCTCACTCAGGGCTAACAAGAGCTGTGGTGCCCTTACCTGGCCCAAATCTGGTGATTGGTGTCGCAGCCCTCGCCGGTCCTTGTCGGCCAAAGCGAGGGCCTGCAATGGACTCGCCAAGTGCTGGCGAGGGTCGCTGCCCCTAAGTTAAAAAAAACAAAAGTAAAGAAAGGAAGAGGAAAAAAAATTAAAAAAATACTAAACATTATTAAAAAAATATCTACGACAACGTCGGTCGTGTCACGTAGGATGGATAGCATCTATGTTAGCGATTTCCGGCCAAAATTAGCCGGATGGACTCAAATGGCAAAAATGAAAAGGTTTAGGGACTCAATTGGCACAATTAAAAGGTTTAAGACTGAATTGACACAAATGCAATAGATTTAGGACTTTTTTGGTAATTCTCCCCACCAATAATTCAATTCATGTGTCTTAATACAATCATCAATAGGTCAAATCTTGTTGCTTCACGTAGATATTGATAAATGACAGAGAGCTTTAGAATTCATTTTTCATATTTTTGTGAGATTTTATAAGTATCGCTACCAACTATTCTAAAAACTTAAGCTATTAAGGCGTGGTTTGATTTTTAAATACTCTGACATTCCCCCTCACATGTAAGCAGAACTTTGGCCTAAAACTATGTGTGAAAATATATAATAGGAGGTAAATAAGAGGCCTGGAATTATTTGAACTCGGAACCTCCAGCTGTAATACAATGTCGAAATCATAAGCAGATTCTTCTCCCTTAATCGATAAATTGGTGCCTTTTAGTTTTCTGGGTAGGATCAAACGTTAAAATTTCAATGACCTTATGGTACATGGAGCCTAGATATTGCAATTAAGCTCACAATCACAGGTTGAGTTTTCAAATTCGCAGAGCCTCTCTTCTGTGGTGATTTTCGATTGGCTTCTCTCATTAGCTCTTGTCGATGAAACTCTTTGATGAGACGAGTCAAGCTTGTTATAGTATCTGCTTTCTCCTCCGCGGGTGATACACTGATTTGAAGATGATGAGCTGTCACTACAAAAAAAATAAGGAATTAGAGACGAATTTTGTGACGACGCTAATCGAATTTGCGACGAAATTAGCGACAAAAAAAATTCCATCGCTAATTCGGCGTCACAAAATTTTGCGATGGAGAATTTCAATTTCCATCGCTAAATTGTGACGGAAAAAAATTCGTCGCAAATAATTCATCGCAAAATTCGTCGCAAATTAGCCACGAACTTTATTCGTCGCAAAATTTGTCGCAAATTAGCCACGAACTTTATCCGTCGCAAATTAGCCACGAACTTTATTCGTTGCAAAATTCATCAGAAATTTCGCGCAAATTAGCCATGAACTTTATCCGTCGCAAATAATTCGTCACAAATTAGCTACAAACTTTATTCGTCGCAAATTAGCCACGAACTTTATCCGTCGCAAATTAGCCACGAACTTTATTCGTCGCAAAATTGGTCGCAAAATTGGTCGCAAAATTGGTCGCTACTTATTCGTCGCAAAATTCATTGCAAATTAGCCACGAACTGTATTGGTCGCAAAATTCGTCGTTAAATATTCGTCGCAAAT